TACCTCAAAATTCTTCAGCTTCTGCCTAGCAAGCCATTTCTCTTTCACATAATTTTCGAGTGCAATGAAGCCTCTTTTGTAAGAAAACAACCAGCTCCCACTTGATTCCTTGTGTTCAGTGGGTACACTGCAAACTCCACTGCTGCAACCCTTTTTACCTTTATTCATTCCATGTCTGTGCACTAATAACCCATGGCATTTGCTTACACTCGTTGAACAACTACCTAGGCATCTGGAGGGTGGGTGGTGTTTTTGGAAGATCATTTTCACGAATGACGATTACCTCGTAAGAAAGAAGATCTAGAGATTTTCACTGCAAGTCCAAGCTCTAACCAGGGAGATTAATTCTTGTGCACTTCAATCTCCCTAGCTTTGTGCTGGCCAGCTGTACAGAGGTTAATTTTATCTACTGAATTTGAAAAAAAATTGAGATACTGCTAACCTTTATTCAAAATCTAATCTTATTTATCTATTACTCTTTAGGGAGGCTGAATGAAATTATATTTTCCCACAGAATAGAATAGAATTTGAAGACTAAATAATTTCTACAATTTGATTTCTTATAAATGAAAATGAAATTATATTCAGGCTGCACAGATGGTTTTGATGGATAAACAAAATAGTACAAAATCTCACTCAGCATTTACATATTGAAGTAGTAGTCTCAGATGAAGTTAGCATACTTTTGGCACAGCCATGAACATATTTTTTTTCAAGCTGTCAAACCCAACTAGTAATAAACAGTAAGATGGAAACTGCCCCTGAGGTTAGTAGATTTTAGAGGTGACTGCACCTTTTTCTGCACAGTACACTCTGGCCTCAGCGGCATAGGCATTGTATGGCTTTTAATTTGAACATCACCTGGTACTGGCTCTGTATTCTAGATGAACTAGTGGTATATCACAAAACACCTCCACTTCTACAAAAGATCTAGCCCTGTTATTTCAGTAACTCCACTACTATAGCCAAGCAAATATCATGAATTTGCATCATTTGTTCCAAACATCAGCATAGCTGGAGCACTAGAAAACTATCTTCAGGCACCTACCTCCCAGCAACACTGTACACAAAATGACTTAGGACTACTGCTTGTGACAAATTTACCTGCAAGAAGAGCACCAAAGTGCTACCACACAAACAGTGGTGGATCCTCTGCTCTACCATGGTCAATGAAAGGAATGGGATTTAAAAATGAGTAGGAGTGGAAACAGGTCCTTACTTGGTGTCACAAGCAAACCCCATCCCCACCTACCTCAATTCCCTAACCCCTACGTAGTTTGAGATTCTGGATCTTGAGGGAGGGGTGAGTGAGGATGCGGTGGAAGGTCCACCCAGGAAGTTGTCTAGGATGAAGCAGTTTACTTCATGCCTTAAGACTGCCTCCATCAGGAAAGAAGGATAATTGTCATACTCAATTCCCTCCTGAGAGCAATGGAGGGCCCAGTATATCAGCCAGACTCTATTTGTAGGAAAGTGCGCTGCCTCCCTGCACACTGTTGGAGACATGAGTTGATCAGGACTAAAATTGAAAAATTTGTAGTGCTTGAAACAAAGGACTTACTTTCGTTAATATTGTAGTTTCTAGGACATTTTTTTTATCTCTCTACAGATATTTGTTGTTCTGCTACAATTATGTCAAATATAGAAAAGACAACATTTTAGGCCCAAAGCAGTAATGCAGGTTACTTGTGCTGTTTTGTATTTCTAAGTGGTTCATAGCACATCCTACTATTTTGGAACTGCTGAGAGAATGCATTTATCCCCACCACCACTTGCTATAACTTTCTGAGCCTGGCTGAGAAGATCTGGGTTTCAATTGAAGGAAGGGAGTGGGCATATGCTGTCTTGCACCTACTACAGTGCTTCTCTCTCCTCATTGCACAAAAGGTGTCAGGTTTGTGTATCAGATAAACATCATCTGTAAGTGTCTGTACAGAGGACGGGTACTCATGGCATTATTCAGGTTGATTTGAAAACCTATGTCTCCCCACAGAGACAACAAAGAAATATGTGCACCTCAAGGTATTCAGGAAAGTAGGCAGCTCTTACACTGACTAAAGTAGGAGACCATACTGCTAATTCAGAGACCATCTGGGGCAGATGATACAACCATGATTCTTAGAGCACAGGCTTACCTCAGATAATGCTCCTGTGAATTCAATATTGCAAGTGTCTACCCAGCTTATAATAGAATCACAGAATACCTTGGGCTGGAATAAAGCTTGAAGCACGGTATCTGCCATGGGAATGGTTGCCAACCACTAAGTCGGGCACTGGATCAGACTGCTCAGAAACCAATCTGACCTGGCCTTGAATGCCTCCAGGAATGAGGCACCCACAGCTTCTCTGGGTAACCTGTTTCAGTGCCTCACCACCCTCTGAGTAAAAAATTTCCTCCTACTATCTAATGTAAATTTCTCCCTTTTAGTTTAAAACTTGTGGGAATACAAGAAAAACTGTTCAGAGCAGCAGCTGTGAAGCAAGATAAACAGCATGAGAACCAAGGACACCTCCAGAAGAAGAAAGAATGTCTCATGGCTCTGACTGGACAAACGCCTGCATGAATGGTTGAAGAGCGATTTGTAGAATGCTCTGTTGACATGTAAGGGTAGATGGGAAAGTTGCAGGGGTGGATAGGAAAGATAAAAAACTTGTGAAGGTATATAAGTGATGTGAGAACTTGAAATAAATAATTTGGATAATTCCCATCTGAGTCTGCGCATCAGACGCTGCAAAAACTGCTACCCCTTATCATTTTACTATGTGCCTGTGTAAAAAGTCAGTCTCCCTTCTGTTTATAAGCTCCCTTTAAGTACTGATAGGTCACAAGGTCTCCCCGAATCCTTCTTTTCTCCAAACCAAACAAGCTCCTTTAGCTTGACTTCACAGGGAAGAGGCTTCAGCCTTCTCATCATCTTTGTGTCCACTCGAAAGTCTGTCTTGTACTGTGGACCCCAAACCTGGATGCAGTGCTCCAGTGGGGCTTCACAAGGGCAGAATAGAGGGTGACAATCAACTCCCTCTCCCTGCTGGTCACCCCTCTTTTAATGCATCGCAGGATACTGTCAGCCTTCTGGGCTATAAGAGCACACAGAATCACAGAATGGCCAGGGTTGGAAGGGACCTCAAGGATCATGAATCTCCAACCCCCCTGCCACATGCAGGGCCACCAACCTCCCCACTTAATACTAGATGAGGTTGCCCAGGGCCCCATCCAACCTGGCCTTGAAGACCTCCTGGTGACACGCGGAATCAAACTCTGTAACCCAAGTAAGATTATAAAGCAGGTGCAGTTTATTCAGTGCTGCACAGACACCAGGTGCAAGGGGTATAGATCGGCCTAACTTGCACACCGTCAGGAAAAATCGTGCTACAGATATAGGCTGAACTAATACATAATCAGTAGTTTTCCTGGAATTTGGATACATACTCATTACACCCCTGAGAGTTCATTAGCATGGAGACCCTCCCCTCTTGCATGTGTGTAGTGGGCTGTGGGATGAGGATTTGTTGTCTTCCTTGCAGAGGCTTCTGACCTTTTTCGCTGTAAATTTCTGACCTTTCGGGGGGGCATCCCCCCAAACTGGTTTCTTCTTGCCCTGTGGACATCTAATCACCTTCCTGCCAGATGTCCTCGGGCTGTTCTCAAACCTTTATCTTCATGGCCTTCATCCCCCTCACTATCCCAGTCACAGTGTCTGCTATCCCTTATTTTCTAACCAACTATACATTTCTGCTTCTATAAACTATCTCTAAACATTCCCCTTCACCCCCCTTATTCTCAGTCACTGTGAAGCCACCTTGTCTTTTTACTTTCACTTATGGGGCCCTTCTCACCTTTCACTGGGATGGACGGGGCATCCACAACCTCTCTGGGCAGCTGTTCCAGCACCTCACCGCTCTCATAGTAAAGAACTTCCTCCTGACATCCAACCTAAATCTTCCCTCCTTCATCTTAAAACCATTTCCCCTAGTCCTGCTGTTACCTACCCTCTCAGAGAGTTGATTTCCCTCCTGTTTGTAGGCTCCCTTTAGGTACTGAAAGGCTGCAATGAGGTGAGGTCACCCCGCAGCCTTCTTTTCTTCAGGCTCAACAAGCCCAGCTCCCTCAGTCTCTTTTCGAAGGGGAAGTGCTCCAATCCCCTGATTATCTTCGTGGCCCTCCTCTGGACCCTCTCCAACAGCTCCCTGTCTTTTTTGTACTGGGGGCTCCACACTTGGACACAGTACTCCAGATGGGGCCTCACAAGAGCAGAGTAGAGGGGAACAATCACCTCTCTGTCCCTGCTGGCCACCCTTCTTCTGATGGATCCCAGGATACCATTTGCTTTCCACGCTGCAAGAGCACACTGCTGGCTCATGTCAAATTCTTCCTCCATCAGGACCTCCAGGTCCTCCTCTGCAGGGCTGAACACACTGCTGGCTTGTGCCAAGATTTTTGTTCACCAGAACTCCTAAGTTCTCCTTCACAGGGCTGCTCTCAACGAGTTCTTCTCACAGTCTGTACTCATATGTGTGTTTGCCATGACCCAAGTGCAACATCTCACACTTAGCCTTGTTCAACCTCATTTGTTTCATAAGGACCCACTTTTCAAGCCTTTCCTGGATGGCATCTCTCCCTTCCATGGCATCAGCTGCACCATTCAGCTTGGTGTCACCAGCAAACTTGCTCAGCGAGCGCTCAAATCCACTATCTATGTCGCTGGTAAAGATGTTAAAGAGCTTAGCCAAAGCCATGCCGGGACTGGCCCACCTGGTGAGCCTCAGCATCAACTAATTACAAAGCACAAAGGAAGAAAGCCTCAAACTACCGTTCAGTAATAACACTAAGGCTGAAGCCACAGCGCTGCTGTTGCGTTCTCAGTTATTTCAGGGCAGAGAAACTTCTCCAGCACGCTGCCCCCCCCGCTCACGCCCGCGGGCAGCCCTCACTCCCCGGCCCGGAGGCCGCCGCCACGGGGACGGAAGAGCTGGGAGCGGCCCCGCGGAGCGCCGCCTCCCTCACCCCGCCTCTCCTCCCCGCCGCGCAGGCTGCCGTCCGTCGTTCGGCGCATGCGGACGGCTGTGTTGCTCAGTCACGGGCCTCCGCCGTTCCCTCCGCGTCCTCCGCTTGTGCGCCGCAGGGACCCGGCCCGCGCTGCAGCCCCGCCATGGCCGATCCCCGTCTGAGGCAGATCAAGATCAAAACCGGCGTCGTGAAGCGGTGAGTGCGGGGAGGCTGGCGGGCGCCCCGGTCCCGCCGCCACGCGTTGGGCGCCGCTGGGCCCGGCCGGCGGTCCCCGCTCCGGTCCCCGCTCCGGTCCCCGCTCCGCCGGCGGCATTCGTCCCGCGCGGGGGCGGCTGTGGCTGTGCCAGAAGTTGCGCCGCGGCTGCCGGCTTCTCCCGCCTAAGGAAGAGGCCTGCCGCCGCCACGGCTGCGGGGTTTTTGTTCGGAATCCTCAGCGGTTGGGGAGCAGAGAGCAGTCACGTTGCCGTGTCGGGGTCTGAGCGGCCTGGCTGGACTCCTCGGGAGGCAGCCAGCCTGGGCTGTGCTATCAAACAAATGCTGAAATACTCGGCGGTCGGTTTTCTACGCCGCCAAGTCGGTTATGTATGGATTTGGTACCCGCCTCTCGGTTTTGTCTGCTCTACGTGCTGTTCACCTCTAAGAAGTGAAGCCGGGAAAACTGGCAAAGTAGCTTGACACACCGATCAGTTATGTCAAGCAGGTATTCTCTTTATTATAGCTCTGGGTGCATGGGGATTGCTCCACCAGCATGCACATCGAAGAGAGGAACTACTACGTATTTAGAGGCATAGCATATACTTACTTGTTCATTACACTCCAAGGACATGGGGCAGAAATTCCAAGAAATAATTAACATCTCTGGTGGTCACGGGCTGAAGGCTAATAGTCATTCTCACTGTAAATTTCCAACCTTTTAAGGGAAGGTAGCCCATACTAGTTCCCATTCATATTACATTGAGCTGAAGCAACTGTTTTGCCATCTTATCTTCAACAGCAGATCGTCTATTCTACTTTCTTCACTTGACAACAAGCTCCGCGGCCTCCTCTGCATTCTGTCCTTGGTCTTACATTTATACAAGCCTCTTATCGTTCAGCTTGTATCTGCTCAAGTTATGTGAAAGGCTGTTCTCAAAATATAGCAAAGCTGTTCTCATGATTCAGAAGCATGCAGTTTATCCCTGTGAATCTTTCTTGTTATGGTTGTCAAGAAAAGCCTTTAGTGTAAAATATTTGGTTGCAGGCAGTAGGACCTGCTGAGTCTGCACTGGCTCCGGCATGGATAGGAGTTGCTATGCACGCCAGATCAGGACGCTAAGTGGAATAGTCTTATGCAGTTTGTATTGTAACCCATTTCAGTTGGTAGAAGCCTAAAAATAGACTGGACATGCTTTCTAACACCCTATAGATGGGAAGACTGGAATTAAACACTAGCAAAGTAACGTGTATAGAGTTTTGTTTTTATGGATACATTTTTAGTTTCTGGTCTCAAAATGCAGAGCGACTCTCAAGTGCAGCTGCAAACAAGAAATTGATGGTGTGATTCCAGTACCCTGTTTCCCGTCACTGTGCAGGGTGTGCAGATCATGGACTCATGTTGTTTTTCAGCCAGGAATTTATAATGCAGTCTGATGAAATGGCTGGGTGGCTGCCTTTTGCTTTGGGTTCCTTCTGACATGTGTTATGGTTACTGGCCTGGCTAGGCAGCAACATTGCTTTGCATTTTGAAGTGTTTTGTGTCTGTGTTTTATAGGCAGAGTATTCTGAAGTGTGAAAAAGCTACAATTGCTTAGGCTATCCTCTTTTCTTTTTTTTTTTCAATCCGCGTTTCTTTGTTTGGTCTTCGTTTGGAGTAACTTACTGGTATCTTCTGAGAAATTGGTGTATCTGACAAATGACAAGTAGTTTGTTGAAGTTCCCATAGTAGCTTATTGCTTCTGCTTGATAGTTTCTACGAAAGAACCGTGTGGTAATGCTGAATTCCTTTTCAGATGACCATTACTTCATACAGCATCACAAAAGCTACCTGAACAAGATTTTCCTTCAAGTCTGTAGATTGGGAAACAGGGGAAGTAGTAGTAATGAGTCTCCAGTCAGAGGTAGTGCAGGCCTGTTTGCTTGCATGTTGGGTACTGTGCCACGTGGCTGTGTCACTTTGGACCTGAAAACAGTTCTGTGGTCCCAGTTCAATCATGCAGGAAAGATAACTGTACATGGAGCTACTTCGGTGTCTATATGCCATTGTCCTCAGTGCTTCTAGATCTGAGATTAGTTTGTACATTCTTAGTTTGAATATCTCTGCTTCTGTAGTTTCAGTCTGAGAAAGCTGATTAGAACTTGGTAGTGTGTTGTGCTTTGTATAGTTGGACTTTGCCTGCCAGAACCCCATCACAAGGTCTGTCATGGGGGAGATTCACAAACGTTTCAAAAGAATAGATGAGTTACTGTAGTGATAGATGTAACAGGTTCCAGGCTGCCATTGATAAATTCACGAGCTGCAGTAGCGCCAATGCACGATGGTAGCTGTAGCAAGATGCAGACCAGCCTGAGCGTCCTTCACCCAGCAGGGTGGCACAGTGCTCACCAAAGAGGTGTCCTTGTCTTGGTGGAGGAGGAGGAACACAGCTTCGCATCTCTTACCTCCCTGTTCTCCTTCAGGCTCTTTTCCTTTCTCATTCCCGCTTTTCCTCTCCACTCTCTTATACCCTAAAACCGATGTTTCTGATCCTGGAGTGACATTTAATATGATTTGTGTGTAGAGTCAAGTACAGCAGTCATGTATGTTTAGCATGTTCTTCATAGTGTTTTGTTTTGTTCTGTCGTTCTTGTTTTGTTTTCTTCCTTGTCGATTTAATGTGTGGAAATCCATGGATTTTTGTTTTAATTCTGTTACAGTTTTGTTGCATCTGAGTTACAAGGTAAGCTGCTTAAGTTCCTAGTAAGTATTAGTCCAGTTACAATGATATTATATGAATAATATAAAATACTTTTTTTCTCCACCTTTAATCGGAGTTTACTGTATATGATATGTTCAACATATGTTAGAAAATTGTTCTTTGTTATTCTACAACTAGTTTTACTCATCCCTTCGGATTGCACTCCTTTGATCACTACTTGGCTATAGGTGAGTTGTTTACTGCATTGGGGCATTTCCACACCTTCCTGTGCCTCTGTTTTCAAGGACTCTGCTATCATCCCGCTCTTGTTTGATCTTCTGTGCAGCTTTTTTTATTCAACGTTAGAAGCAGCTTATTCTTACTAAAATATACTTGTTAGTGAAAGAAAGCCAGTACAGTAGTGTCATGCCACTCAGTTGTATGAAGCTGAACAAAAGCAGTAAGTGGTACCTGGTCATAATTGTAGTTAAGCTCTTGAAGAAAGATTCTTGGCTGGCAAGACAAGCCCAGGCAAAGCCTTACTACTCCTGAAAACTACCTTGCTAGACAATGCAAATACTGTGGCTTTTTAAGGGTAATGGTAACAAAATGTTTAATAAGTTAAAGCATGGTTTAGGAGCACTGCATAGGTGAGCAGTCCTCTGATGTGAAACTATTGGCAGTTGTGACAGGAGACTTACCTTTAGCCATGGTCTAACAGCAACCCAAAACTGAACTGCTGTGGCACAGCTTCCTCCTTAGAGGGCCCCATATCTGTGTATTTCAGGGTGTTGATATGATGAAAAATAAACTAGACTTAAAGAAAAAAAAAATATTTTGAAGGATGAGGCCTGCTAGGACTGACTTGCAACACAACTGTGTACAAAGGGTTTGAGGAGTTGAAGGGCAGTCAACAGGATTCACTTTTGCTTTTTGCTGTGTGAATAAGAGAGTGCTCTCTGTTTGAGTTTTGTGTGATTACAATATGCAGATCTATGGATACTCTGCAGTAGCTGGCCTACTGTAAGGAAAGGTAACATTAAGGCACCTTAGAGCTCATGGGCAAGCTTAAAGTTAACTTTCTTGTTTCCTTCTTGGTAACTCTGCTTATCTTTTAAAATCCCATTTATGTTTTCAGCAGAATGGTACTGTGATTAAATGCTTCATACCTTAAGTTAGTTTGATGCATCAATAGAAACTGTACTTTTATTATGTAACCTGAGCATTTGAAACATGTGGGCTGTTTCTGGCTTGGCTTTCAGAGGTCTCAATGACAGCGGTAGCTGCTCACTTCTGTGGAATTGCACACACAGATGCAAGAAGAGGCATGGTTCAGTTCCACTCCACCTCTCCTTCTCAAGCTAGAAGCTTTGTTCAGTACTCTGTATTGTAGGTGTTGTGCATGTGACTTGGGTGAATTTGGGAACTTTCATAGTTTCCCTTGTTTGGAACTAGAAAATCTATATAGGTATTTATTCATTATGTGTGAGAGAACACATAGAGTATTAATAAACATGCCGAGAATGACTGACTCAATACTTCAGTCATTTTCTCCTTGTATTTTTCTGTGTTTGCAGTTTAGAAAACTGCATTGAATTTAGTCTATAAAGCTGATTTTTCAAGCACATTCAATGCTCAGACTGCACAAGTATACCAAAATAGGTATGGGTCAAGAACAACTAGGATGCACTTTCTTGGCACTTCATTTGTCTGTTTTTAATCACCTGCTGTAGCTCACTCTTATGAGTTACCTAACTCATCACTTTTTTGAGCTAAGAACAAAGCATTGTTTAATGTGGGATTTTTAAAATCTGTATATTACAGATTCTTTGTGTATCCTTCTCAAGAGACTGTTGTAGTTGTGGATAATTTACTTACTTTTGTGTTTCTTCCTTGTTATGTATTAGTGAAGGGAACTTTAACTATAAATGGGGAGAATCTCTTGCATTTTCAGAAAAAATTAATAGCCAGGTCATTGCATACTTTCATTACCCAGTATTCAAATAAGTAGTTTTGATGAGTGTGATAAATAACATTTGTTGTATTTGTGATTTATGTCCTAGCAAGAAGTATTTATTTAATCGCTTAAAAATAGTCTTACTCTCAGTAGTCCAAGCTCAAAAACCTGCCTCAGAGTAAATGAATTGATCTTTAAATAAATAAATAAATCTTATACTCATTTCAGATCAGCAAGGGTTTTAAAAACTACTGTGAACAAAGTAAGTTGGGGCATGTGAAAATAGCACTGATATTTGCCCATAGTTTCCATCTGGTTAAATGGAAGTGACACCAGTAGATTAGAATGAGACTAAGACAATTCAC